TTAAACCCCATTATTGCCCTTTTCACTAATTATATATTATAGCCTTTTCACTTTTCTAATTTAGGATCATTCACTTTGTTATATACTTCAACGCAATAATAAATACTTTATTTGTCTCAATCTCTGTAAAATGTTTTTAACCTGTCTAAAAAAAATGATATATATTTTTTATAATTGGTGATAAATTTAACTTTAAAGTTCTTATTCTATCATTAATAAGATAATTTACCATCACCCAAATATTTACGATTAACTCCTTTGTCCAATTTACTTGTCATTCTAACTAAAAATAGATGATCCGAAATAGTTATCAATTTTAAAAAATCAATGCATAACTGAGTCCATTCATCTTATTTTGCCCTTAATAATTAGGGTTAAAGTCAATATCGTTGCTTTCGCCATGTAGAACTTTGGCCGCTTCCAGAACTTCTTGGGCACTCTTGTTAGGCATCAACTCTCCAAATTTCGCCCATATATCAAGTTGCGTATCGGTCGATTTGGTTCGATTTTGAAGTTTACCGGCTTGACTTATTGATTATCAGTTTGTAGAGATGTTAAATCATTATAGAACCATTAAGATATTGACTTATCGGTTATTGGTTTATCGGTTATTGATCATTATCGGTTTAACCGTTAAGATTTGACACAAAAAAACATTGAAAATATCTTTAAAACAAGGTGACAAACCAAATGAACCATGCACATGAGTTCACAAGTTACATATTTCTCAAAAAGCAAACACTTTTACATTGTAGAATACCAAAGAGTTTGGGGACAACCCAGAAATAAAAGTAGGAAACCAAACTCTAAGTCAAGGACTTTATATACAAAATGGTATAAAATATAATTATTTAATTTACTATCGGGTTATCGGTTAACCCGTTAAGAAAAAAACCTAAAACCGTTAAGAATTGATAACCCGATAACAAAAACAATCAAAACTATTATCAAAATCGCTAAACCAATAACCCATTATGAATAAATCAATAACTTTTTTTTGGTTTGAGTTATTAATTTCAGTTCAATTTTGAACAGTCCTATTAATAATAATTATTTTGGGAAGTAATTATATTGACTAATTAGCACAAAAAAACTATAATTGAAAAACACACACACATACTCCAATATTGTGATTCCTTGTATTAACTATCTTTTTTTTTAATTATTATTATTATTAAAAAAATTAAAAAGACAATTCTTATTGAATAGATATTACTATCTTAAATGATTATAAAGATAATAAATAAGAGTATCATCAGCAAAACACTAATTTCGCAAGAGGTGTGTAAAAAAAAATATAACATATAATAAAGCGGTCTAGAATCTAGATGAAGTAAAAATCACAAATTTCAAAAGTTCTTATTTTCTTTTTAAACTTTATGTCCAATCAAACATATTCACACAAAATGAAATCACAATTTAAAATTCCAAATCTTTGTTTTTATTAGAAGAATTCGAGTTTTAAAATCATAATTTAAGATTAAAATCTACATATATTAATAAAGCTGAAAATGAACACGCTGATGTGGCATGCCTCATTGGCCTCTATTACTATTTATCCTTTTTCTCATAATTTTGAGATTTTTTCTTATTTTCTTTCTTCAAACCTTCAAAATAAAAATTATTTCTTTCATTATTATTTGTGTTGATTACATTAAAATGGCCAGAATTGAATTGTTTATTGCATTTTTTTGGTTCATTTCGACTGTCTGCTTAAAGGATAATTAAAGATCTCGTAAAGCTCAATTAAATATGACAAACAATGCAGTAACGGCCTAATTAAACTTTCAGCCCACGTTGCAGTCCCTTCATTAAGCATAATTATGCACTTAATGCTCATTTATATGAAATTACTCAAAATCCGTTAGTTTTTTTCAGTTACTAATTATTTTTAGTACTATAAATACTAAAGAAAGTCATTTCCAAAGAACAACATTCTTCCTTTTTCTTTCCATAGCTTTCTTCTCAATTATTATTATTATTCTTATTTAATAATTGTTAATATTAATAATGGCAACAATTTGCTCCTTTTTTTTTGGAAACTTTATTCCCCAAAAACAAAAAAAAGGTTCGTACATTTTTATTTTGTTGCCACAATTATTTATATAGTGTACTGAAAATGACTTTCTTCGTTATGAAATGAAGTGGAATGGCATATGGCCCCTTTTTTAGCTATATATACATTTTTACGTTTCTTTTGCCACATCTATTAGCTTAATTTAGTGTACTGGTACAAAAAATTTATTTGTTAGGAAATGAAGTGGAATGGCATATGCCCCCCATTTCAGCAATATATCAAATTTTGTTATTTTTATTATTTATTGCAAGGTTGTATATAAATGTAATAAAATTTTAAATGTAACAGTTTTATCTTGTACATAAACGCTCTATTATAAATTTTAGAAATATATTTATTGCAAGATCGTACATTGTAATGTGAATTTAAACATAATAGTTTTATCTTTTATGGAATAAATGTTCTATTATAAATTCTAGAAATAATTATATTAATTTCATATTGAATTTGATGATTCTTACATATTTGAAGAATGTGTTATCATTAACGATATATCAATTTTTTTTACTTTTTTTGTTGCAGACTTGTATATAGTTATACTGTGAATTGGAATGCAATAATTTTATCTTTTCTAGTATAAATGTCTTACTATAATCTTAGAAATAATTATGTTAATTTCATATTGAATTTTAATTTTTCTTTCATTATATTTATTAAATAAAAGGATCAATATGATTTTTACATTCTTCCAAAACAAATAACATATCTAGAAAAAGATGGATATTTCTTTCATTTCAAAATAAATCTCTATATAATACAAAAGTTAAACAAAAGAAGAGTGATATGCCACCTTTCTTTAATAGGAATTCATTTATCTTTTTTTTTTCTTAGAGATTCATCTTCATCATCTTAACTTCATATGTTAATTATTAATTAATAATATATATAATTCACATGACATTACTTAATTACGATAAACCAACCAACTAATTAGATTAATAAATTAAATATTTTCTTGATAAGAGTCAACCCACGTACAAAGCTAACCTCTCCTCATAAGATGGTTCACATCTGTGCAACAACTCCTAAAGCGAAATTTAAAAGTTGTTCCTTAAGCCAATTTAGAAAAGATATTTAATTTCAATAATTTTAATGTGCATAAATTTTTTAAAAACTAAATAATTAAATCATTGATAATTTTTCCTTATTCCTCTTGATGAACCTATATGTATGTGTGTTCTTATTCATATTTTCGGATATGCCTCTATAGGTATAATCTTATTTTTTTAAGACTTCTATTCAATAAATTTGTTTTTATTATCTTGGATGGCTGAAGAATTTTACATATAAAATTTTACGTTTTTTTTATCTACCGTTCTCATTCATAGTGCGTTAATTTTTATGATGATTAATTCTTACAACTTGCAGGGAAATGAAAAAGATCAAATGGTAGATTAGTAAATAAAAGAATATATATATATATAAATCCTGAAAAGACATTTTCTTATAATTTCTGTTTTTCTATAAAATTATAACATTAATTAATATTTATTTATTCATTCTAATTTTTTAAGGATTGCGCGAAGCACGGACAAGTACACTAGTATTATAATATGACCCAAACACCTCTTTACATCCAACAGTTTAAACTTTAGCTAATTAATATAGTTAAGTTACACAATTAAGTAGTAGTAATAAACTTGTTTATGAAAGACATATTTTATATTTTTATATTCATTGACGATAAATTTTTACCCCTTTCGTTTTAATTTATTCGACCTACTCTTTTTAATTTATTTTAAAAAAAATAACTTTTTTCTTTTTTTAATAATTCTTTATTTTAATTTTCTACCTAACATATTTAACATCACAAAATAAAAAATATTTCGATACAATCTAATTGCTAGTTTAATATTACAAAATTACTTTTTTTTTTACTTTTTTAAAGTCCGTGTCAATAATTTTTTCGGTAAACCTATATCAAAGAGTAAGGACCAAAACGTAATTTTCTCCTCCAACCATAAACAAAAAAAATCCTCTATTGCTTTGCTCAGTTGCTCCCACTGTTTTCCACAGTAGAGAGATGGAATTCAATACAACGCCGACACGTTACGGTGGCAGAGACGGCGAGAGAGGCGCCGGCGGGAAGTTTAAGAAACCGTCGGCGAGGAAACCTCCGGCGACTCCTTACGACCGTCCACCATTGAACCAGTCTGGTCGGACTAGCTGGTTATCGAAACTGGTTGATCCGGCTTACCGTATTATCTCCGGCAGCGCCAACAGAATCCTTCCATCCTTTATATCGAATGCAATTGCTGGAAATCCTCCTCCACTTGAACAGATTGACGGTGAATTAGGTTTGAGACTCGTACTTCATGTTATGTGAATTATTAGGGTTTCCATGAATGTGCGATTTTTATGTTTTTTTGGATATTGGATATTGGTGATTGAGTATGTTGGTGCTTTGGTTAATTGAGGTTTGCAAGAACGGAACTTTTTTGTTATTTTAGCTTACAACCTGATCTGTTGGAATGTGACTGTAGTAGCTTTTGTTTACAACTTATTCTAGCAAAAGGTGTTTCTTTGCTTTTCTAGGTTGCAGGGATTTTCTTGGATATGTAGTAGGTTTTATAAGAAAATTTAGTTTTTCCATCTCTGATATCATTATACCTTGCATGGAACCTGGTGTGTTTTGTCTACTTGTATCTTAATGACATTCCTTTTTGATGTCAATGTGCATGAAGTGTAATAGCGGTGGTAGTTTCTTTAGTTGAATTGGTAAAATTTTGAAGAAGTTAGACTTTGTGAGCTTGGGAGTTGTATTTGCAACTTTGCATGAATGGTAGACCTCATATGACACACAATTATTATATGTTGTATAAAAAATAATAATTGTGATCCTATGTGTGGTCTGCCCATGATTGTACAAACATAGATTTGGTATTTTTCTACCATTGGCTGATAAGAGAATGACATCAAGCAGGCTAACACTGGTCCCAAAGGAAAAAAGGTGCTGAGGAGCTAAGGGACTCTGGTGGATTCATAATGTCTCCAAGGTTGGACCCAGTGGTCAGGGCATAGGAGAAACAACTTGAAGGTCTTAGGTTTGAACTCCAGTTACAACAGTTAATGTGAGCCTGCCTGCATTAGCTTTTGTTGGCAGGATTAACGGATCCTATGCTTGTGAACTCAGGTTGCTTGGTGGATTAGACGCGATGCATGTAAATTTATCAGGAACACCACCTTCACAAAAAAAGAAGAAGCTAAGGACCTATTATAAGATTACTTGCCAAAAAAAGGACATAAGATAATTGCTCAGGTTCTTATTGAAAGGTTTAAAAAGAGTGATTGGTACTCTGATTATGGGAAACCAAATTTTTTTTATTCATCAAACTAAGGCTAATAGTGAATGTTGCACTAATTGCCAATGACTGCATTAATTATAGGCTGAGGCAATTAACTCATGGATATCATGTTAAATGGATTTGGAGAAAGCTTACTACCATTTAAATTGGCGATGGTGCTAAACATTGTGAGTTGTGTGATCAGTGATGGGGTTTGAAGATAGGTGGATCAAGTTGATAAGTTACTGCATTTCCACTGTAAGGTTGTCTGTATTTTTCTATACTAATTATCTGTAGACATGAGCATATTTTGCTTCTTATGGGGGACTTGAGCAAGATGATTATTCATCATGTTTACTTTTTCAGTTTTTCTAAATTTTAATGGTGGTGGAAACACTTAGGTTACAGCTCAAAAGAGCAGTTGCACTTGGCTGGATATTAGGGGTTAGGATTAGAGGAAGTTATGACATGCAATGGATATTTCACATATTTAACATTGATGACACTTGGAAGACGAGGAAGACGAGGAAGAAATAACTGATGTACTTGAGTCTGCTACTATTTCAAGCAATTCCTAGGCTTCATATATATCCAGTGAAAAGTAGATCATTCTTTTTGAATCAAGTGAAAAGTAGAATTTTATTTGCTAATGCACACTGCCAAAAGCTTGCATCATCCATTATATTGGGCTGTAAGGTGGAGATTTCTTAACTTCATATATGGGCCTCCCATTGGAGCCAAATACAAAGATAAAAAAGTACAGGAAGGTGTGACTGAGAAGTCTCAAAGGAGACTTTTTCATCTCACCTCGCTTTAGTGCCCTGAAGCGACCTTCGCCTCGCCTCACACTTTAACCGGTTTTAATAACACTGATCTCATGTGTTTGCTACTGCTTAAGGCACCCTGCTGCCTTATCTTATAATGCTCATACACCAATTACAAGCTACTTATTCAGACATAACAAGCCCGCCTTTGAAGGCTAGCTCCTGCTTCGGAGCTTCATCCCCACATCTCACATATTGGAAAAGGCAGAGAAGTTCTGGAATTTTGGTAGGAGGGAAATGGCTCTCACTTGAGTTCCACGTGCACATACAACAACAAACCTAGTGTAATCCCATGTGCACATATGCGACGTTAAATAATAGACACCATTAGGAAGGAGATTAAAAGTGCACCAAATACGACATTGAGGACTATTAGTGCTCCGTGTGAAAGAAGAGGGATGACTTTTGAGTCTAAAGCAAAAGATAAGGGATGATTTTGGGCTTTTTATCTGTTTCGTGCGGGAATATTAACACCCATCAGCAGTGTGCTAGATGTAACCCAACATACCTCGTCTTGGTGACTGCCACACCTCCAAAGTAGTTGAAAGTTGGCTAGATGGAACACTGACATACTTTATATCTTTGGTGATCACCACACTCTAAAGTAGTAATGCAACTGGACGGGATTAGACGGAATTTCCTTTGGATGGGTTTGGGGTGGTGGGGTGGTTAATTATGCAAAAGAGGTGGTTTGTGGAATAAAAGTTTAAGCTTACATTATGGAAATTTCTTTTCTTGTTCTTTTTCTTCTTTTATAAGTAAAAAAAGGTCTCCTTCATATAAATGGCTACAAAAACTTATTGATGCATGGAGGATCTACAGAAGACCATAAAGGGGGTATGGATGGAAAACCAGTGGTGCTATGGAGAGTTAGTGATGACAGGAAGGATATATGGAAGGTCAGAATAGAGAGGTATGGATGGAAAACTGCTGGAGTTTGAGACCAGTTGAGGCCTCAAATGACAAGTATATGGAAGCAAATCAAGATTTTTTTGGAGGAATTCCAACCTTTGACGAGAGTAGAAGTTGGAGATGGCAGTAGTGTGAAAATTGTGCCTAGATTTTTTGTTTTGAAAATGTGCCAATATATTTGAATGTATGATATATACCCTTTAAATAAATCTATCAAGACACAGCCTGACAGCTTCCAATTTGCAAGTTACAGAATGTCATAGGGGTATGGCATGTGAAGTTGAGTAGGGATATAAAAGGCTGGAGATATGAAGCATAACTCTGCTGTTTGATTGCTTTGGGAAGGATTCCATTAGTTGAACAATAGACGGACAACTTATAGTGTTATGTGAGGATGGCATAATCGCTGTGTGTTTATGCTAACACCGGTTGATAAGGAATGACATAAAGGGAATCGGGGTGTTGGCAGATAATTTGAAAGACTAAAGCTCCAAACAATAACATATTTTGGCTTGCTAAAGGTTCATGAGCCATCTTTCACACACAAAGACGTGCAAAAAAAATGTTTTTAATATGTATAGTGATGTTTTCTGTGTGAACTGACTTAAGAGGGACATCTCTTCCTATCACTTCAAGGAGTCATGCCACTTGGCAGATTGGGTGCGTGTTCCTGAATTTGTTAGTATATAGTAGGGTGAATTCCTAAAAACCCCACATCAGTAGTTCCATCATTGCACAATATAAGTGTGAAGGAATAGAGACTGTCAGGGATAAACTTTTCTCTAACAATATTTTCGATATATATCTAAATGCTTTGAAGAGAAAGCAAACTCCCTTTTTTTTGTTGGTATAATGTAGATGTATTAATTATTTGAATTTTTGGGTTAGGATGAATTTTGTAAATGATATTGAAGGTGCATTGGTCTTCCCTGATCTCCATGTTTAGAGAATATGAGTCCAAGAACACTTATTTACACTGAATGTACCTTCTTGCTAAACTTAGTAATACAGTTTTTGCTTGCCTTAAAAAGTACCCCTATTAGATACAATGTTCGATTGTATACTTTATGACCAACAAAATAACTTTTTCGTATTGATCATTAATAAGTTTTCTTATTTATACTTGATAGAGGAGTTCTAATAATAAGAATCTTAGTCGATTGGATGCATTGTGATAAGTATGTTTGATACATCAAACATTGTGAGCTAATTAGATATAGATATCATTAAACTTGTTATCTTGTTTGTTTCCTCAGTTTGATCATTAATCTCAATTTTTTTAAATTTGGGACAGATAATGAAGATCCAGCAACAACACAAGATGTAGGAAATGACAACAAATGTGCTTCAAGTGTAAGCTTTATTTTTGTTCTTGCTTTATTTTGGTAAATTTCTCCTATTATCTCTCCATTTTATTGGTAGAGTGTGGATGAAGATTTTGCTTTGTTATTATGTCTATTGTTTTACTACACGAGAAAGAAGAGCACAAAATATAATAAATAGATCTAACACTTAGTTTGGATGGCAATAAAATGGTGAGAATAGAATTTGTTGGCGAAGGTGACCTTTGAAAACTTGAAGACCAAGGGTTGCATTACTAATAGATCTCTGCTGAAGTGATTGTTAAGCTCTGAGTTCCTTATAGAAAAGGGGTAAGTTCCATCCAACATGATGCCTTACTTTTTGGGGAAACGGTTGGCAATTATCCACCCTGATTAGACGCTCCTGAAATACTAAGACTCCCAAATGAACATGATAAAGAGTAGAGTAAACATCGTCTTTAGGTAACGAGAACGACAAAGTTGATCGTTGTTTCCTTCACAGTTGATTGTGTGATGTTTAAGAAGTCGATTGACTTGTATATTATACACTAAGAAGATCTCAGATTACTTGCTAGAAGTTTACCGGGGAATTGATGGTGAACCAGTATCATATCATGATTATGATTTGAAAGAATATATCAAATTAATTGTTAAAATTTATCTGGGGAATAAGAGAGAAACCAGTATATATCATGGTTGTGATCTGGAATCTTAATTTTGTCTATGCTTTATACTTTCTTGTCCGTAGATTTTGTCAAACTTGGATATCTCAATGGGAAGTGCCTTAGGAGGTTAGAGCTTATATTATGTTATGGTGCTAGACAAAATGAGTCAATAGTTTGATATAAATTCATCTTCTTCCTATAATCGAGCTCATCGCATCAGGCTTTCCTAGTGTGGGTTACTCTCCCGTGTGGTTTGCGCGCTATTGCATAGGATCGGGGGTTTTACCCTGTGCGCACCCAAAGGGTAGCGGCTACGGGTTTCCCTTGTCATAAAAAAAGATGTAAAGGTTATTTCACATTGAGCACATCAAAGTCAAATTGAAATATGCACTTTTTTTTTGGTTGGGGTAATCTCTCTCCTGTACTTGGTGTCGATTCTTTCCTGGAATTTATCAGCTCCATAGATCTCTGTTGTTAGCTGTTTAGATAGCCTTTTTTTCCCTTTTGGGAGCTGATATTTTCTTTCTTTTGTAATCTGTGCATCTGCTTGATGCTTTGTTAATGACATTCTTCTTCCTTCACCAAAATATGCACTTTTTTTTTACCCCCGGGGTTTGGTCTAGGGGTAAGAACGCAACCATGATGTGTGGGTTAGGCAGATAGAAAAAGTTTGATACTTTAGTGGAGAAGGAAAGATGGGAAGACCCATTATCCAATAAAAATCTCTTTTCAAAAAGAAATAAGTACTCTTTTCTTGACAAGTAAACCCATTGAATATTCTTTTAGCCTCTTACTAATTTTTAGTTCTTAAAAGAACAAAAATCATATATGCTCCAATGAAATTGCATTCTTAATAGCAAAAGGACTTTCAGTTTGTTGTCATCACTAATAGAAGTATGTCAAATACTTCATACCGTCCTGGAAAGGAATTGTTTTCATAATCTTATACAGAGGTATGATGAATTCTAAAATTCTTTTGACGTCAACTTTGAGAAAAACCTCCTCCCCCAATTTGCTGATAAAAATCATCATAATTTACTTGTAATTTATGCTGTTTAATTGTGGAAAGAAACCGTGGAGATGAAAGCTTTTTAGTAACTTAACTGCATATGATGTTCAAAGCTTTTTATATGCTTTTGTGATAAATCCTTCAAAGGACCTACAGTAGGCTTCTCCCTAGCCTAATTTAATCCTCTAAAGTTAATATTTTCGTTTACTTATGCATAATCGATCTGATGAAACTTCATGAAGGTGCAAAAGTAGAATGCCCCTTTTTGAAAGTCAAAATAGGCCATCTGTAATGTAAATACTATTCTTTTATGCTATTAATGGTTGCCTGTAGCAGTGGCACCGCCATTTTCTATGCGTGTTACTCTCTGCTCCTTCCTCTTTTTGTTTCACGCAGAGCTTAAAAGAAGAAAACTTGAATAGGTCAGCTTCTTCAAAAAAAGAAAGCTTGAATGGGTTAGTTTTTTGATAATAGGTTAGCATGTAAGCTTTTGTCTATGTGTGTTTGAATAATTGGCTAATTGCATTTTTTTTGAAATGTGTAGTCCTTGGTTGAGAAGATACATTCAGATACCCAAATAATATTATAGTATAAATATTTATACTCTTTAGCCACTTTTAGCGAACTTAGACAAAGATTATGCTTATATTAATTTAATAAATACAATTAGATATTAGAAAAGTACTACACTCAGCTCAATTTTTATGACATGGTTCGGATTTCGAGAGTCTACTTTATTTTGATTGTGCATTTAGACATACAATCTTTAAGGTTTTTGAAAAATAATTTACAGATTTAGAAACTACATAAAAAGTACTATAAGTCACAAAGATTACCAATTTAAAATAGTTAAAGGGCATATGAATAAATCGTGGACAAAGATATTCTTGTTCATCATTTGAAATCTGAACTATGTCATATAAATTGGGACATAAGTTTAGTTTGAAATGGAGGAGATTTTTTGCCACTATAGGCACCAAACACACTCTGGACCGATATCAGATGTCATTCTGTGAAGGGGATATCAAACGGAAATGAAGAAGCAAAGAAGAAAAAAGGGTGGGTAAGGAAATTAGGTTGGTGATCCACATTTAGTGTTAGCGAGGAAAGGGAAAACAGAGAATATCTCAGGGATCAATTAAAGAGTTTTTCAGTTCGTGGACAAAAAATATGTTGGATTATAATACTGGTATCCTTGAATATTTAGTACTTATAATTTGTTTGTTACATCACATTTAAAAACGAGACGTACAATGTATAATCTTATAGGTATATTTGGTTTTAAACTTAGTAAACTTGAATAAGCTTTTGTTCCTAATTTTTACATTGACCTTCTTAATAACATTTTCTGACAAAAGGGCAATTTTTGTCATTTTATTGTTTTACTGAGGTATAGCTTATCCTTTTATTTTTATCCCACGTTGGGTGTTATATAAACGTACACCCAAGATTCCAGTATAACATTATTCCATAAACAAAAAAGCAACCAAACGAAGTATAAAACAATACCATGGCCTTATTAGGAATTGATGCTGTGAAAGTGCCCCCCTCCCCCAAACAAACAAACAAACGCAACCCACGTGTGAGAAAACAAAAATGAAGAGAAAAAAGCTTAACTTTTATTTATTTATGGTTTTCTAGTAAAGAGAATATTTTCACAAGTGTTGGATATTATGTTTATGCAGTATGTGATATCCAGAACTACTGAAGGAAACAAAGATGATCCAAGTATGGAGAAATTAAATGAGATCCCCGAAGCAGAGAAGCTGGGAGAAGAGAAACCAAAGAATTCCAGTTCTACTGAAGGAAAGGAAGAGGATCCAAGTACGGGGAAATCGAATGGGATCTCCGAAGCAGAGAAGCTGGAAGAAGAGAAACCAAAGAATTCCTCTGATAGTGTTGAAATTTCCAGAATTGAGCAGCTCATGCAGGGGAAATCATTTTCGAGGTAGCATATCATTCTTCATGTCTCTGCTTTTTTTCTGTAATTCTGGTTATAGCCAGGCCCATCTATCATGTTGTTGCAGTCACACCTCATTGGTTAGGAGCCAATTTCTGTTTTAGATGAAAAATGCATGCATCTTAAAAATTGTTATCTTCCTCGTAGTCCTCAGTGGTTTGAGAATTCAGTTCTCTATAATTACTAGGAACTGAGATTTTGACTTAATAACCCTTTCCTCTTTTTTTGACGATCCTCCATCACTCTGTACATGTTCTGATGCTGGATTTCTCCGTCTTGTGTTCATTCAGGAATCTCTTTTGACCATGTGCATCATTCAAATTTTTTCAGTTAAACCTTCTTATTGAAAAGCTGTCTTCACTATATGCAGGGATGAAATAACGCGTTTGACAAAGATATTAAACTCAAGGGTCGATGAAGAAAAAAAGTTAGCTAGCAGAACAGCTGAAGGAGACATTGGAAGGCTTCATTTAGCACATGAGACACCTAGAAGACCAAATGACAGGAAGCGGGATGAAACAGACTTCGCTATGCCAGGAACTTCAACACCTCTTCCCCAAACAAACGTGAGTTAATTATCATTATTAACCCTTCTGTCATAGAACACATTTTGTTTTGTGAAATGACTACAATCTTAGTATTTAAGCGTGCTAAAACTTCAACTCAGCTAAATAGATACAAATAGAACAGGATGAACTAGAGGATTAATGTAGCTGTAGCCAGCTAGTCTGAAAATTGAGTCACACTTGATTGATTAGTAAGAAACAACATTTTAATTAGAGTTACCTTTATAAAAAAAAAACAACATTTTAATTAGTCAAGAGATGTCTTGGATGAAAGCTTTAACAGGAAAAATGCACCAGTGAATAAAGTTTGGAATAGGTTGGAAGCAAGTACAAATAATTGTTTTATGAAAGACCCTCATTGATGCTCCTTTCTTTCGGAGAATTTTAGGATGTACTCTGATAAAATACTGCACTACTGCAGGTACGAGATGAAGTTGGCGCATCCCCCATTGATATTGCAAGAGCTTACATGGGAAGCCGTAGGTTAAGTAAGGGAAATGATTCTTATGGTTTTGTATCCAAGGTGGAGCAAGCTCCCCAAAATAGGTTCCATCCACCACCTTCACCAAAGTCATCGACTTGTTGGCCCGCTGCCATGGTGCAAGATCAGCGTGGTCATTTTACTCCACTGAATCAGAGAGGATATGGGCTTGTTGAGTTCCCAAGGACCCCATACTCTAGAACTTTATTGCCGAAATCCAGAGATAGGGTTTGTATTGTGACTAAATTAACTTGTGCTTCAACCATACTTCTGTTAATCCGGGAATAGTTATTCATGTTGCACTTCAATTTGCCAGCAGACTCAGTCGCAGGTTGGTAGCAGGTGGCTAGATCCCTCAACGAAACCCTTCCAACAATCTCAATCATTAATCTACAGCCAGGTATATGTTTGTCTTAGCAACTTCCTATTACAAAAATCCTCTGTACTAAGTGATTTCCTATAGCTTCCTACATTGATTTGCAGGTTCTTGCGTGTTTATAAGAATTCTGTGATTATTAGTCTTTATTTTAATGTGATAGAACTCTTTCAAGGAGCAGATGGGATCTTTCTGAATGTTCTCATGAAAATATTTCAGGAGAAGACTAGGACTGATTTACCTCTTCCAAGCTATGGATCTGTGGGACCGATTCGGCGCATACGGAATAAATTTGGCTCAGAATCTCGCCCTAGGAAATCCATTTTCCTGAATAACCCAAATGCTTCTTCACCTTTAGAAAAAGTTGGTGCTTCCAAATTGTTCTTGCCTGCTGCCGGAAAGAATTTGGAAGTTGGGCAAACTAGTGGTGTAGAGAAGTACCAGTCAGTGGATCATAGAGTAGGCAGGTCTGAAGAAGCTATACCACTCATAAGTTCTTCAAATGATACTGTAAGAAAAATATTAGAGCAACTTGACAGACACAAGCCCACTCCTGCAGAAAAGGCAGCTGAATTGAAGCTGGCAAGCGAATGGAAGAAATATCCCGGTAAAGAAATCTCTGATTCCACTGCAAATGATAAAATGAAATCCTCACATTTAGGAGAATTTGGTATACGTATGAACAATGGTCTGGCAGCTGCCCAATCGTCCAAGGAAGGAGATAATGGAACAGTCAATCGTGTGGAAATACCTCAGGAGCAAACTACGCGTGAAACTGACACTGGTACGGATGCTAGTGCTAAAGCTGCTAGTATAGCTAACGTGTTTGTTACGACAGCTAAAGCCAATACTGTCCCGCCCTTCACTTCTAAGGCAGCTGATTCCCAAGTTAAAAGTTTCTTTTCTGGTTCTCACACTCCAAGTTTGCGGAAGGTACGTATTTGTTATTGGAAGTTAACTTTTCAAATGGCACTAATCTGCACCTTCCTAACATTCTCGAGTTTGTTCTTAAAAGCAACTTCTTTTACAGTTCAAAATTTAATTTATGCATTAGAAGATGGAGGGTGCAAAAGCACAAAACCACAAAACCACCTGGGGATGTTAATTTAGGCGTTGTTGCTAATATAATATAGAATCGCCACTTAACATGGATGTCTTTGCTGCAGGACTCGATACGCACGGATGATGGACAGAAAGATAAAGGTTCTACCCCACAGTGGCCTTCTTTCCATAATCAAAGTAATGGGCAGAATGCTGCAACGTTATCCAACTCCACGGGTTTCCAGCTACCAAGAAATGCTCCTGGACAAGCGTCTAGTGCAAAACCTAACTTGCCATCCATTTTTGTGAATAAGCCCAATCCTAGAAATGCGACTTCCCCAGATAATGGGTTTGGATTCAGTTTCCCAGTCGCTGCGTCATCTGGTGCACTCTCAGAACCACCAACACCATCCATGCCATCTCCCGCAGCTGGTGTCCTCTCTCAGCCAGTGGATGCATCCAGTTCTCCAGTATACACCTTTGGCACTGGTAAATCAGCTGAATGCCTCGTATTCTCTTTTCCCTCTACGAGCAATGCATCTGTTCCCGTGGATGCTTCAGACCTCAAGTTTAGCTTTGGAACAGACAGGACATCAAGACTATCTTTTGGTGGAATAGGAAAAACAACATGCTAGTTTGAAGGTTTGTCAATACTCTAGCTGCAGGATTTTCACCCAATGATGGAAACTCTGTTTCATAATTTTTTGTATTCTCACCTACATTTTGTTATCTGCCACAGCTTTCATTTTGAAGGATGGATGAATACCTGATATTAAAAGTTTTAGCAAACACATAATTGCTGATTGACTTGATTATGATTGTCTTATGCATCTGAGATATAGAGTTCAACTGACTTATCCATATGTTGAAGGTTGATTTAAGCTAAGTTGCTCGGACTCTCCAAAAATGTTCCCGTACTCGTGTTATTTATGAAGGATGATATGTACCCGATGACATTTTTGTAGAGTCCGAGCAACATAGAATTTAAGACTTGGTTGTTGGACAAATTAAAAATGAAAAATGATGCTTTATGTTACAATGTATGATGCAGTATTAAAAGTCCCAAGTAATAAAGTAAAACATATTTTGAACTGTGTATTTCAAAATACACCATTAAATTAAACAAAGCTACCGAGTTCGATCGAGTCGTATCTAGTCACCACCTTCCTTACAAAGAAGAATTATATAATATTCTTGTTTTATTTCCTTTTCTCCTCCTTTTAGCCCCAGCCAAACATAAATAACTAAATCAAGACCAAATATCCCTAGTTATTCAGTTATACAACTAGGGTCTAGCTAGTTTCACAAACACCAATTCTAGTTGTCACATAAAAGAAGAATTTGAACTAGATCTAGTTTTAACACAAGTAGAGAACATGATGCCTTAAGAATCATGCATTGATTGTACAAAATATCCAAAAAAATTCCCAACTAAAAAGAATTTATCCCTTTGGCCATGTAAGTATATAAATCCCAAGTTGTTGATAAGATGGCCCTACTCACACATGATTTTGTACCACCAAGATGGTGTTTGAATCAACTTTTAGCTAATGTCGACTATTTTATTGGGTATCAGTTACTTTCATTCAGAATAGATGTTGAGTAACTTTATTCACCAATCAGACGAATAAATAATAAACTTTTTTTTTATCTAATTCCTTATTTCTCTATTAGAAATTGAATCAATCAGACTCTCATAATATACCATCACTTCTAAATTACTAAACCACACACTTGAATGTATGAAATATCTCTAATCTCCTATCTATCCAAGAAATGGACTAACATACATGAATTTCACTTTATACTATTATCAAAGATATGAAGTCTGTCGTTGATGTGACATGTTTTTTAGTTTTTCATCTGATGTAAGGTTTTTTATTTTGAAATTCAATTGATTTAGATCGCACCAAAGTGTTCCACTTTGAAGGACAAAATACTTTTCTGTCAAGATCGATTTGTTTTATAAGATTTAAATTCAAATTTTCTAATTAATAATAAAAAAAATATTTAGCACTTCACGAATGATGCATGATCTTTGATGTGACCTAATTCCAAGGTTTTCATAGTCATAGAGATTGGGATCTTTTTCTCTCTTATTTGATTCTTTTTCTTCGAGGGGTACAACTATGATAACAAAGAATTAAATCTATGAAAAAAGACTTTTAAAATTTCATTAGACTATGTAAAACTAAATAAAAATACCTTCAAAAAAATAGTTTGATCTAAACAACAAAAAAACGCATCGAACCGACAAATGAACACTCATAATTTTTTGACCTTTTCTCTTAAATTTTTTTATTTTTTAAAAAATAAATCACATTAATAAATAATATACTAGTACTCATATACTTCCTCCGTTTAAAAAAGAATGACCTCCTTTCCTTTTTAGTCTGTTTCAAAAAGAATGACCTCTTTCCTTTTTTTGTAACATTTTAATTTCAGTTTTCCACGTGGCATGTTTAAAGCCACAAGATTGAAGGACAATTTAGTACATTTGACATAACTTTAATTTAGGATCACAAGATTTAAAAGTCTTCTTTATTTTTTAAAATTTCGTGTCAAGTCAAATCAGGTCACTCTTTATATAACGGAGGGAGTACTAAATAATAAATAAATGCATGTGTGTACATATTATTAATATTTATTATAGAACAATATTATCAGAAAATGTGTCAAAAAGAAGGGTCACTAGTCAGAGAATGGGGAAAGTCAGAGATGAAATGACAAGAAATGAAATGAATGCTAAGCAGACATGAATTTGACATTTCAGATTCTGTGTTACAGTACTCCTTTCCATTCCACACTCTCTCATCGGTCTGAAACATATATAAATTATAATTTTTTTTAGAGCGAATCGATATATCGAGCTTAGATCCCATAAAATCTTACTGAATATATATTATTGTTATCATTATCGTTGTTGTAGTTGTTGCTGGATCAATAGATTGAGCATATAAAAAATAGTAGAAGAAGTGACCAAATGCGCCATAACTATTGTTTTGATTCCTTTTATTCAATTATGAACTCTATGGAATTTTATCAATTTCAACGCCTCACATATATATACTCACTCTGTCCCGATCTGTTTGGTTATGAAAGTTGTTTATTTTAAAAATCAGTGTTTGATCATGAAATTTTCAAATAAAATTAAAATTGAATTTGGAATTTGAAAAACACTATAAACTTTTTTTTCTCTTCACTTTTACTATATCTTAAAAAAAATTCGTAGATTATTTTTTATAAAATTTCATACTTAAATTATATTTCGTGTTATTTTAGGAAAATTACATCCAAATAATCAAAAAATATTTGCAAAAAATTATAAACCAAACACAACTCCATGATCAATTTTAACATAAAAATTTATATAAAGTAAAAAGATGTTAGTAATAGTATGTAATGGTTTATATATGAGATATAATCTCTGTGATATTATATGACTATCTGTTTTGAGATATTACTCCTATAAAACATATTTGATTGTATGTTTCAGATAATTAATTAATCAAATTGGATTATTTTACCAGTTTTTAGAAATCGGGGAGTCTAAACCACATTTTAAAAAGTATATTCAAATTTTAAATGCTCTTTATAAAACATATGGTCAAACACAATTTCTACTCTAATCCCAACTTTAGTTTTTTTTTATAAATAAAATGAATAATATTTACGTTTCTTGATCGTCTTAAGAGTTTTGATTTGATTGATACAGAGTTTAAGAAATGAAGAGAAAATTTTAAATTTGATGATATTAAACTAAAAATATATATGAAATTTGTAAATTTTATGATCTTAAATTTGTCTATTAAAATATTAAAATTGATGAATTTTTTTTCAAACAATTCCTATTACTCTGGTAGTTAATTTGTTAAGTTATTCCATCTCTTAACCAAATTTTGCTGATCCCAAGGAGACTTTGTTCAATCATTCCTTGTTTTTTTTTACTGCCTTTCTTGTTGCTCTTAGATTCTTTTTAAAAAAAAATTCAAAATAAGTGTTTGTTTGTTTTATATAAATATTATTTTCAAATTAAATTTTATTTTTGAAATTTAGGACAATAATCAGTAACTATTTTTAGCTATGCATATTGAAGAACAACTTCTTCTTAATAATGCTCACTTTTTTTTTAAAAAAAATCTAATAAATATGAATAATTTAGTAAATAATATCTTGTATTTATTATATTTTTTAATTAATATAAAAAGAGCTAAGCTGACACTTATTTTTGAACGGAAGAAGTACATACCAAAAAATTTACAAAATCAAAGAAATTTAACACTTACTATATATACATACAAATTCATTTTAACTTTATGCCTACAATATGATTTTTTGACAAATCCTTTTCAATACCGATGTTTTGCCCACAAGGTGGAGCCATATGTACTTGAGGGGGGTGTCAATTGATACCTATATTGATCCTCATTGACTTATTCGTGAATTTACCTCTTTATATTTTGATATCACTACATCAAAAAATGATCATCAGTCGCAATTAATTAATGAAAATAGCTTAATTGCAGTTAAATATGTATTTTTTTTAGACGATTAACACTCTTTGTAAATAATGTCCCTAAAACCTATAACAACATTAGATCCAATTGATAATTAACTAATGCCGATAAGAAGCTTAACATTCTTTACTAATGTGTATATTTATTGCTACTATTTTTTTTTATCATAATATATTTTTGATGAAAATTCTATCTCTGTCATTATCGGTCATGTTCAGATGCATAAATGCATGTCTCATCCTTTGATCCAGAGGGTTCAAAGATGCTAGCTAGCTAAATGGACCTACATGTTTATAAAAACATGTACCTCACAAATTCTTGGTGGCAATTGACAATCATAAATATCTTTTCATATTTCCTAATTTAACTTTTTCTTATTCTTACATTTAGTCAAGAAAAATAGTTTAAATTTGTCATATGAAAAAAAAATTGTTCAATTTTATCATATACTTTATTATTAACAAATTATTTCGTATTTATATTTATGTTAACAAAATTAAAGCGTAATATAGGTAGACTTCACATATTCAAACTCTTAAAAAAATAAGATCTTTATTATGCATCGACTTCTAATTAAGGTTTAATTTTTTTTCTCAAAACTAAGAATTAAACAAAAAAAATTAATGGATAATAAAGCTATTGAATTAATTGGAATAGTATAGTATAGTACATGACAAGTTTGATCATTTTTTACTTTTTATTAATTAATCATGTTAGTATTCATTTCTTTATCTTTTTTTATTGGATTTTTGTTTTTGGAGTTTTTTGTTATCGATATATATAGTACAGATATAATTGATTTGACTATTCATCAGTAAAACTAAAAAAAATTGAGAAAATCCAGTCTGAATATATAAATGATAAAAGGTAATGTAGCTCAATATATTTCTGTTAATATTTCTTTGGATTTTTTTAGTCTGTCAATGTCACTCATAAATTGTACTAATTCCTTTCACGGTCTTATATAAGTTTTGACAAAAGCAAACTAATTCTTTTGACCATAAAAAATATTTACTCTTTTTTTTTAAAAAAAAAACAACTTTTTATTTTATTTGAAATTTAATGTTTGATAAAGATTTCAAATTCAGCTTGAAGTTAAATTCGAAAACAACATGTTACACCAGCTTTTCAACTCATTTTCCACCTTTAATAGTATTATTTCAAATGTTCTTTGCAAAAAGTATCACCAGACATAATTTCATCTTTAATTTCAATTTCATAAATTTCAAAAATAATAAAAAAAATAAATTGAAATTTATGGTCAAATGGTACTGAGTCTACAAGTCTTAAAACTA